GGACAGAAGTGAGAACTGAAAGTGATGTCACCACGAAAGCCCCTCAGGATACAGGTTGCCCAAACTCCACTGAAGAGGCAGAATCTTTAGCTTCTTAATTTCAAACACAGAAACAGGGTGAGGACTCCGTTTGATTGTCCAGTCTTTTCTGGATCCCCGCTCACTGTGAAGGGCTCTGCATCTCACGCAGGCCAGGCATCTTGTCCCTCAGAAGGGACAGACGGTGAAATCTCTGTGCTTTCCTCTAGATGTGGCCTTGAGGCTGGTGAATGGAGAGGGCCGGTGTCAGGGCCGGGTGGAGGTCCTGTACCGGGGCTCGTGGGGCACCGTGTGTGACGACGACTGGGACACCAATGATGCCAACGTGGTGTGCAGGCAGCTGGGCTGTGGCCCAGCTCTGTCAGCGCCAGGAAGTGCCCGCTTTGGTCAGGGCTCAGGGCCTATTGTCCTGGACAATGTGGGCTGCTCTGGTCACGAGTCCTACCTGTGGAGCTGTCCCCACAACGGCTGGCTCTCGCACAACTGCAGCCACGGGGAAGACGCCAGCGTCATCTGCTCAGGTGGGCCTCCAAGAGGTGGTACAAAGGATGTAGCACAGGGCAGAGGCACAATAGTAAAGATGCCTATCCTTCTCCAACCTTGGTGTCTCCATCGGGAAAATGGAAATAATAGTGGTACCTTGGGCAAGTCATTTTACCTCTAAGTGCTTCAGTTTACTTCTCTTAAGACAAGGGAACTCTTCCATAAAGGGTTGCCATGAGGCCAAATGAGATAATGAAATACTTAAGACAACAAGTGATGGAAATTGTATAATCATGGTCATCATCATAATCTCATTGCCATAGAAGCCAACACTTGGGTGCCAACAATGTGCCAATCAGTACGATAAGCATTTTACCTGGATTTTCTCATTTAATTCTCCCAATAACCCTATGAAGGGTAGTAAGTCTCAGTAATGATCATCTCTGTCATTTGATGGGAAAGAAGAGACATTTTTATCTCCCACTGTCTCTGTCAACACAAAATCACTTAACTTTTTGGACTAAATGTCCAAACAGTTACTAGTCTGTGCTTTTAGCCATTCTGTTCAGTTAGTTTAGAACTGGTAAATTAAATCAAAGCCCTCAACCTCAGCTCCTCAGGCATCTTAATACAAGCTGCATAGGCTAACTTCTCAAAGAAATAAGTAAAGCTATGGGTCTTCCATTTTGTGCAAACCTAATTTGCTTTTCTACAGTGATGAAAGGTTAATTTCTATTTTAATGAAATAAAGAAATATCTGCAGCAGCAAATATGTGGAAACAAATGGACAAATTATTAAAGAGTATTTCACTGAACTTGTTTTTAAGGTATCCAGAGCCATTTTTTTTAATGACCACATTTTCTGGGACTAGTTTAGTATTTTGCGGTGCACACACAAGAGACTCCAGAAATCTTTATCGATTAGAATTAAATTTCAAAATCAGATGATAGATCTGTTGACATCAATCTCCCCGAAGTTGCTATGTCTCTACTTCAGAGTCAAGTCTAAGAAAAGCAAGGGTTCAAAGGTGGATTTCTCAGTCAGGATCCCTGTGGATGAACCACACACTTGTCTGATTTTTCTTTTATTCCTTTATAGATTCCCTATCAGATCTTCTCACAACACCTGGTAACTACTCTGAAAAGAATATGTTGTATTTTGTTTATAATTTATTTTTCATTCTACACAGTTATTGATATCTTAAGAATAAGTACTGCCTTACTGAACTTTAATGAATGGTATGAGGTCTGCACAACAGTATGATTTCTGTCCCTTCTAGAAACACAAAGGCAATAGAAACGTCTTTAAGGTATAGCCTAAATGGAGCGTGTGGTCGTACAGTTATGTTCTTCCTCAATTTTATTTTGCCTTTGACTCAAATTTCAGTGCACATCCGAATCAACTAGGGTACTTGTTTGACTGCGAGGTCCTTGGAATTCGCCTTACTCTCATCTAGAGTCTCTGATTTGGAGGACCTGGAGTGGGGCTCAGGAATATGCATTTTTATATAACCAAAAATAAGGATGATCTGCAGACTACACATTGAGTAACCATGATGCATGGCCTAGTACTGAATTAAGTTTTTGTGTTTGCAATATAATTATGGAAGCATGACTTTCCTAAGATTTTCCAAAAGAAGAGACAGATGATGTGTACATATATTTTAAGCACTACCTATTTTTACTTACTTTATCTTAATGTCCAATGTTTTATATAATGTCAAGTGAATTTAGGTTTTTAATATTTTCCCAAATGATTCTTGGCTATGTCATGAGAGTGACTTGTTGATATAAAGACTTTTCCACAGGTGCATTGCTAGCACTGAACTTGTACATACCTTTCAAAATGACATCAACATCCTTTCCACCTCATTCAGCAAGAACCAATCCAACCAGGACCCTTCTAAGCAGGAAAGACCACAGCGTGGACTCTCTCTATGTTGTTTCGGGGGAATGTGTTCCCTGCCTTCAGGGACATAGGGTCTAATGGCAAGATAAACGTTGATCGACTGACCATTCAGTTAATATTACAGCCGTGATAAATGCTGGAGTAAGAGGCACTCGGCAAGAGAGACGTGCTCAAGCCATCAGAGAGAGAGCGGTCTCCAGAAAGTCCCAGGTGAACTCAGGTCCAGAGCCAGTGTAGGAGTCAGCCAGACAGAGCAGGAGGGAAGAGTGTTTCTCTGTTATTCACTGTCGCTGCTGTCAGGAACTTGAGGGAACAGATGCAGACTTAGGTTGACTGCAGCCACCCTCCCCCAGCTGTCAGATACTCCCCCTCCTGCAGGCTTAGCCATCCCAATATTGTAGCTACCCGGGGTAGTGCCCTGATGGGAGGTTTACTCTAGTTACCATTTCCCAAACAGTGCCCTTGACACATTTTCTGAAGCTCTAGAAAAACAGACTTCTAATCAACGAAGTTTTGGAAGTGTTGCCTGCTGTTGGTGGTCGAACCCCTTTTGTCCTTTGGAGCAAACGGGTGAAGAGCAGCTGCGGGAACAGCTGCACTCGGTCCTGGTTCTTTCTTGCCTTCTAAGTCCTTATCTAAGTCTGGATGGAGATGTCGGAGGCAAATCCAGAGATATATCCATGAGTAAATCCCTGGGGCGCTCATCCTTGGTCATGTTTTGAACTGATTCATACAACAATGAGCAATCTGGCACCACCTACACTTGCAGCATCCTGTCCCTCTGTACCATCTCCGTAGGCTGGCCATTTGCTTGGGAACAATGAGACTCCATGGAGAACGCTCAGATAAGGCTCCCATCCACAAAATCCTTAAACCCCACTACATGGGAGAGACTCTATGACAGACAAGAGATAGTACTTGAGAGGATGAAATAACCTCACTGGCCCTCTTAACAGGCCATCAACAATATGCTGAAGGGCAGCTAGGAGAGTGCCTTGTGGACCCCACATTCAAGGTGGAGAGACGGTTACAGTAGTGCAATTCTCTGACATCAAGTACCCTCACTGGTCTGTTGGTTCTGTCAGAGAAATTCAAGTCTCTGAACCCTGACGGCTGCTCCAGGCAGGACTTGAACTTTAAAAAGTATCTGAGAAGTTTATCAGATCGCTTAGCCCTCCTTGTATCAGGAAGTAAGAAACAAGAGAAGGTGAAAGCAACCTTGATAGAAATTTTAATAGGAATTTAAACATAGTAGATCTCTTTGGATTAAGTAGATGTTGGTACATAAGCATCATAAAAGATGAAATGGCGGTATCTCATGTCCTTTTAGCAAAATGAGATGGTCCAAGTTCTTGCTGTAAAATATCGTGGATGAAATTTCTTAACTTTCCAAGGTCACATAGCAAGATAAAATTCAAGATCAGAGGTGTCATCTCTTCAGCAGATTCTAGTTTACTTTCAGTCCTTGAGTCTCCTCAGAGAAGACTTAACTTTATATTTTCTGTTTTTCTCTCCTTCTACAATCTGTATATGCAAAGACTACTATCACAAATACTGAAACTACTGCTGCAATAGAAAATGAATAATTTCATATAGGTCGTTCTCTGCAGGTCACGATGTTGAGTATATCCATGGGTTTGACTCTTATTCAGGAAAACATTTACGGAATGGAGTGAGAGAGAGGGTTGTGAGCATGTTGTACAGAGGGAGATCCCTTGTGAACCAGAGTGCCTGGCTTGAATGGGAGCCTCTTTCCTTCTCCGTGTTCCAGTGGGTGGGAAGGGTCACTCAGAACATGGGGTCTGCAGGAGCATGTGTGTTTTCAAACAGACACCAGTGAGATCACTCTCTCACACACAGTTCCAGTTCTCTCATCTGGACAGCTATCTGCTGAACCTGGCCGTCCTATCCCAAAAAACCTTGGTGTGGGGCCCGGAGGACAAAGTACAAAATTCTTTAAAAGCCGACTTCAGAGCCCCAGAGGAATGCCACAGTTCCTGCAGGGACATACTGGGGTCATGGGGCAAATCTTCAGCATGTGCAGTCGTGAGTCCAAGATGTAAGGGCGTTGGAGAACTATCCATGGTATGCTACAGAAGGAACATGTGAAAAAATTCTAGATCATCTCCAGAATGCTAGGTGAGAGATATTTTTTTCATTCTTAAGCTTCAGTGGACTACGTTTTGGCAAAGCAGAACCTATAGTTATTTAATGAAAACCAGTAACACGACCGATGTTAAGGGACCAAGTGGGTCATGATTCTCTCAGAGATCGTTGACTACCAAAAAAAATTGTGAATGCTTTAGAGGGCTGAGACCAAGACTAATGCGCACTTACACATTGAATGCTGTGCATTCTTTTAGGGACCGAACCGAGTTTGGCCGTGCGGCTGGTGAACGGAGATGACCGGTGTCAGGGCCGGGTGGAGGTCCTGTACCGAGGCTCGTGGGGCACCGTGTGTGACGACGCCTGGGGCACCAACGATGCCGACGTGGTGTGCAGGCAGCTGGGCTGTGGCCGGGCCACGTCGGCCCCAGG